GAAGGAAGGGATGAGCAAAGAGAAGAGGAAGGGAAAGAAGGTAGGCAAAATTTGGTTTCAGAAAGTTTCAAGAAATAGGTAACAGATAGTGATGCTGGCCAAGTGTAACTTGGACATGATGTGGCGCAGTAGCTTTCACCTCACCTTTTGTATTTATAAATCATTTCCAAGGCAATTATAATGGAAGCAAATGTATATAAAATGTGTATGTTATTTGGCACTTAGCAGAATACTTCCTACTTAAAGGTATGATATTACACTTAGAAAGAGTTATGTTCTTGATTCTCTTGGAGAATGAAGGAAAGAAATACAAGGGGAAAGAATGTTACTGTTAATACATTTCAAAAGAAAATAGTAATTACCTACCTCAGTTATGTTTCTATTGACTACCGCTTATAATGTCATGTTCAAATACCATGAAGTAGACATTTTCCATGGAGAAAAAGGAAGAAAAATCATGTTATGATGCTAGGTACCAGCTCTCTATGACAAGACCCACTTTTCCCTAAGTGAGTATGATGCAAGTTAAACATTACAAAGGTTCTATAGTTATGCTTCTTTTGTTAGAAGTGGGATGGGTGCACTGTAGCCAGAGAACCCAAAATATAACTTTGAGTTAGGAATTCTGAATGTGAAATCAGAAATCATTAGAGAGTATTGCATCTCTGAGATAAGTTTAGAACATAACCCAGATATCCAAGATATTTAATAGAAAAATTTTAAGTGATCTCTTCACTCTGTTGGCTGGTTTTGTTCTTGGCATCATTTTTCCTAGTTTTGTTTGTTTGTTTTTGATTTTTAGTTTTTTTGTGTTTTTTTCTGAGCATTATGGAAAGGAGCCAAAGCTCTAAACCGGAAGAGTTAATTGTTCACCATTGAAAATGTATGATCTATTCCAACTGGGCTGACAAACAGAACAAAAGAACACAAGTCATTCAATCAAAGGTTAAGAAAAAATAACTTCCTCTTGTTTGAGATAATATCTTCAGACTTAAGTTTTCCCTTTAGCTTATATAAGTTACTAATAAAATAAAAATTAATTCTTTATGATTTCTTTTATTAATAAAAGTAAAACAAATTTAAAAGATAATTGGGTTAATTTAATAAATAATAATGGTGAAATAATTTATTGTTCATTGTAGTTACATTCTTGCCAATATTATTTTTATAAATGAATGAATCAGTAGCATAGGAATTCACTCACATTCAACTCAGTTGTATTCCCTTCCCAAATTTGATTATATTGTTTCTGTCTTCATTTGACTGTTAACTGTGCTCTCCTCCTCCTCCTTTTTCTCTTGTTCTTTCTCCCCTTTCTCTTGCCTCTCCTTTTCCTCCTCCCTCCAAACTTGTTTTAGATTTTGATGGTTTTGAACACATAAATTATCCCATTGCAAATATTTATCAATGGCTCATTATTCTTTATGATAGTAGATCTTGACACTCTTAGCAGGATTAAGACACAAAGAGAAAAGATAATGTTATTATAAAATGATATTGTTAACAAATCAATTTTCTTGGTTGTTTTGATTGATGTAGGCGCTATTCAAATTCCAACTTTTAGAAGCATTTTTGAGTCAGAAAGTAAAATTTAACTGCTGGGTGAACAATCCATCTATAGATGATTTTAAAACATATCAAGAGTTAAAAATTGCAAACGTAGAACATCTCAATCATTTATAACTACTTATCAATGTTTTTAAAATGAAGCTGCATTTCAGAATTTTGAAAGCTTAACTGGAAACAACACAAAATGCTGTATTTTCATTGTCTCAGGTTGAGGGAATGGATAAGACGGTTTTGTGATTAAAAGAGTTAAGCATTCTGCATAAGGCTTGAACAGATGAAATTTTTTGGTTTTTTTTCTTGTAAGTTATCAAATTCTCCTTTGCAAATGGACCACGGTGTCTGCCCTTTTAAATTTATGATGGATGCTACACAATTAACATTATCATGACAACTGAAATGTGAAAGCAATAGACCTACAAAAAGTAATTGCAATAAAAACTACTGGCATTTTTCAAGTGCAAGAGTAGAAAATATTCTAACTCAGCAACTGATCTTTTTTTAACCTTCATTTAACATACAAATTTGTTTTTACTATTTAATGGATTTCTTTTTTCTTATTTAATGTCAATACAATTATATTATTCTGGATAAATTTTTGTTTCCTTTCTCTATAAGAATAAGTAAGAATAGCTTTATGAAAAATAAATTCAGCAAATATTAGTTGGTTTACTTATTTTACTTTATATTAGTCACCTTTTTCAACAAAATTATTTTTGGCTGAGTTTGGTCTTTGTTGCTGCATGTGGGTTTTCTCTAGCTGCGGTGAGCGGGGGCTGCTCTTCGTTGCGGTGCGCGGGCTTCTCATTGCGGTGGCTTCTCATTGCGGAGCACGGGCTCTAGGTGCGCGGGCTTCAGTAGTTGTGGCACATGGGCTTTGTTGATCTGAGGCATGTGGGATCTTCCCGGACCAGGGCTCGAACCCGTGTACCCTGAATTGGCAGGCGGATTCTTAACCACTGCACCCAGGGAAGCCCTATATTAGTCACCTTAATTCATGACTGTTGTTACCTTTAAGAAGCAATATTTTATTGGACTACCAAAAGAGATAGTTATGTCAGCTTTAGCATTATTCACTTTCATTCTATATGCTTTTGTGGATTCTCATAAATAAGCTTTATGTCCTATATTTATGAGTGCATATTATTGTTGTTGTTGTTATTATTATTATTTTTTGCAGTACGCGGGCCTCTCACTGTTGTGGCCTGCGGAGCACAGGCTCTGGATGCACAGGCCCAGCGGCCATGGCTCACGGGCCTAGCCGCTCCGCGGCACGTGGGATCTTCCCGGACCGGGGCACAAACTTGTGTCGCCTGCATCGGCAGGTGGACTCTCAACCACTGCGCCACCAGCGAAGCCCTGTTATTTTTTTTAGTACCTTTACCTTGTAGAGCATACTGGGATTTTGCATTTCAGCTTTACTTTCCTTAAGTAATTGTTGGCATTTTATGCCTTTCCCTTTAAGTCTAATTCATATTAGCAGTTAGAATTTGAAGAGAATTGAATGACTCCAGAATTTTAAAATTTTTTCCCGCTTTTTAATAATAGCAATAATAAATGTGCTATAATTTTAAGAGTTTATGTATATTTCTGGACAAAGATTCTTAGATTCTAATTTCATGAAAGTTTTGATTATTTAGTTTCTCAGATTTGATGTTATAATATAATTTCTAGTCTATATTCAGTAAAATCATATACTGTAAGTGAGTAGAAAAGGAATAGGAAGCATGCTTTGGAAATCAGCAATAGTGAAAGTCACCATGGAAAAAAATCTCTAAGCTTGCAGTTATGCCTTCAGAGTTCCAACTCTATCTCTGTTATTACCTGTTATCTAGGTGGTAAACGTGATCCATTTATGGAGCTAATTTGAATAAACTTTCTAATCCTGTGTATTTTATACAATTGTTGTGATGATGATTTTAAATAATTTTTTTAAAAGAGCTTTGTTCAATCAAAAGAATTATGCACTATAAAATTATCTATATTATTAAACAGCATAAAAAAGCAAGGTAAGCTAGAAATAAGAATAGTAAAATATGTCCAATAAAGGAAATTGCCATAGAGAACGCTCAAGAAAAAAATGAGTCACTTGTTTATGAGAACTAAGAGGTATCTTGTCACCATTAGGATACAAAGGAAAATAATGATGACTATGGGCCTTTTTTTTTTGTGGTACGTGGGCCTCTCACTGTTGTGGCCTCTCCCGTTGCGGAGCACAGGCTCCAGATGTGCAGGATCAGCGGCCATGGCTCACGGGCCCAGCCGCTCCGCGGCATGTGGGATCTTCCCAGACCAGGGCATGAGCCCGCGTCCCCCGCATCAGCAGGCGGACTATCAACCACTGTGCCACCAGGGAAGCCCCTGTGGGCCATTTTTAACACAAGTGTAGTTATAAGTTAAGAAAACATTTTTTTTCTCCTATTAAGTAAGTATTAGCCAAAGTAAATGAATTTTCTTTTTTTTTTTTTTTTGGTGGTGCCTCACACCATGTGGATCTTAGTTACACACCCAGGGATTAAACCTGTGCCTCCTGCTTTGGAAGCATGGAGTCTTAACCACTGGACCACCAGGGAAGTCCCTAAACTGATCTTTGAAAAACCATTATGCTAGAGAGATTTTGCTGCATTGACAGTAAAAATCTTCTCATGACCAGTGTAATGACAAGTTTCCAAAAATGTCAGTGCCTCCAGGAAGTCAACCTGGACTTTACCTTTCCACGTCTGTCAATGACAGCTATGATGTGTATGCCCTCACGGTAAAGTTTAGCCATCCTTTCAAACTTTTGTTAAAAGAGTACAAGATGTTAGTTGCAATCTCTACAATTTCACATAAATCTGAAGATAGAATTCACAAGGTTTTCTATCTTTTTTTGTGTAGACAAATGTCCAAATTTTAGGCACTGTTAAAAAAAATCTGCTTGCTACTCTGTAGCAGTTCTCAGGCTCATAAACATTTTCTAGACCATAATGTTTTTGATGTGCTGTTTTAGGAGCTTCTAAATCAAAGCATGTTATATTCTTATACTTTAGCATGTGTTTTTAAATTTAACAAAGGGAGAATCTAAATTTCCAAGAAAAAAAAAATAACACGTGGGATTAATAGACAAAACAGAACTTTTAAGAGTATCCAATTGACAGCACCAGCATAATAGTACTAGTGGGCTGTATGAAGGCAGTTTTTCTGCACTAAGGAGTAGCTACCATTTCATGGGTGGAATATCCACTATAAGCTTTGAGACCTATGGGTGGGTAGTAACACTGATTAATTTACCAATTCTCATTCTCTGCATGTTGCTAGAAACTGCTTTCTTTTTCTCCATCCCAGTAATCACTTAATATTAAGAATTACAGTGTTTCATTGTCAAAATAAGGGGAAACTGGCCTTGGGCCACATTTGTAAACCTACATTCGAGTACACCATCAATCAAATCTTACCCAAATGCCAGTGTGCGTCTGGGTATTACAGATGTTCAGTAGAGTCACTCATCTTCTTTACACAAAAACAGATCTAGTGAAAAAGTTTAAAACAAAAGAAAAAAACAGAAGAAATTAATTTTATATTACAACTCTACTTCATCTACCAACAATAAGTTGTTGACATATATGAGTCTGTGCTATTTACAGATTATTACTTGTACACATTTAAGCGTATTCAGAGTTCTGGTTCTCTACATGTTTCCATTTCATTACTTTTTCATTTATTCAAGATATTCACATGACTAAACATGGGAGAGCTGTTACTTTGAAACTACTCTATAGTACAATGGACATTGCCTTTTACTTTGTTGAATTTTTTTTCTTGAACTGGTTAGAATATTTAGAGCATTGGTTTTAATGTACTGGCTTGATATGAAGTGACACTAAAATGACGTCCTCGAGGACTTATGTTCATTCAACCCAGTTAAAGTTCTTGTTCTTAAAATGAAGAAAATGTAGATATCTGCAATATTCTCTGACGCTTACTTGAAAATATTTAACTACTTTAGATAATACCTACATTCTTTTAGATTTATTCTGTATTTTCCTATTAATTAACATATGTAAGTATTTTTAATGTCACCTTTAGGTCCAAGAAAGAATGGCAAATATTTTCATTTTTCTTTTCTTTTTTTTTTTTTTTTTTGCGTTATGCGGGCCTCTCACTGTTGTGGCCTCTCCCATTGCGGAGCACAGGCTCTGGACGCGCAGGCTCAGCAGCCATGGCTTACGGGCCCAGCCACTCCACAGCACGTGGGATCTCTCCGGACCGGGGCACAAACCCATGTCCCCTGCATCAGCAGGCGGACTCTCAACTACTGCGCCACCAGGTAAGCCCCAATTTTCTTTTTAAAATGATTTTTAGTCAAGTATTACATTTCATACATTAGGTGGACTATATTATAGTTTACATTTGCTTAAAAGTCTTCCATAAGTATTATATAGGATATAGCAGAATTGACTAAGAGTACGTATATTTATAGTCTTATGTGTACAAATACTGAAAATGAACCCATATGATAAAACATTTGTAATTAATTTAACTAGGTTATTAACAAATCACATATAGACACATTGGTTCTAAAAGAGATTATTTTCCCAGATTAAAAAGAGTAAAAAAATAACACACCATGGTATTCAAAGAAAAGGTTTCATGGTAAAATATTTCACAAAAATAATTGTTATTTTAACTTCCTACTATTTCTGGTCACCAGCACAGTTCATAAGGTGACCAAGGATTACATCACTTCTTAACAATGGCCTGACAAATTATGCATAGACTTTTTAGAAGCTGGTGACATGAATTGAGAAAAAAAAAGAAAGCATCATTCTTAGTAGCATTTTTTAAACTTAATGGCTTTAACTATGAATATTTTTTAAACTTAGAGACCAGAGAATTTATCATAGAGGATACAAATATAATAAATGTATATCGATTTGCTTAAAAGAAATGACTATTCAGACAAGGTCTTCTACCCACTTGGTCTACTCACATTTCACACAATTTTTTTTCATATTTTGTTTTAATGAAACAACACTTCTGGCAAGTCCTGTGTTTGATTTCCTAATATGTACAAAAACCTGCTATTTGAGTGGCAGATTCACCAGCCAGAAGCTGGCTCTGAACATGTCAGATATATTGGCACAAGCAGAGCTCAGGTGCTGTTGGAAGTCCCTGCCAGCAGGTCAAAGTCAGCTCAGAGTTGGAATCAGAGCCAGGAATTACATCTGGGTCATCAGGCACTGCGAGCAATCATTGCAGCAGGATCAGATTTCAGACAAGCAGTCATAGTCGATGGCCTGTCACAGGTGTGTTTGGTAGACATGAGTGCATAGCGGGTGGTGAGAAACGTAAAGCAAGCAGTCAATCAATGTTGATCTCTTTCTGCTTTTTGTATCTTTTACATAAACACTGGCCAATCACAGAAGACGAAATGTGGACTCCTAAGTCTGTGAGCTGCCCACAATTGATAAAATGATACATGATAACAAAAATTGCCCCCAGATTAATAAAAACACATATTTTTATAATACCACAGCTTATTTCTGCTTTTCTGTGCTCTCTGATTTTACACTTTAAACTGCTATATTTAAATTTTCGTTTCTTTCCTTTCTTGGTACTTTAAAATTTGTATTACAATTTCATTCACAGCTATTGTATTATTGCGTGTATTCTAAAGATAGATTAAAGAATTCCCATTTCAGTCATGTAATTGAGCTCTTTTCATTATAGATTTTGATTTTAGAAAATCCTAACATATGTGTTAATTTTAAAATAGGCTTTCTTTTCAATTAAGAGTAATTAAACTACCTTAAAGAGTTAAAATGGAATTCCAGACCTTCAAGTCAGTTTATAATTGTACTTGTACATTAATACCTGATATGTTTTACATTTCCTCATATCTGATGATTATCTTTTAAAGTCTCCATTATATTAAATATATACTAGAAACTCACTATTGCAATGATGTGGAGAAGTCAATTTTACAGGACGACTTCAGAGACAAACTGTCTTCAGAAGAAAGCCTTTCTCCATGTGAGTAACCAAATTCACTTGAAAAGGATGTAAGATAAACTCACTACACATCAAATTTTGTTTCTTAGGTTATAGTTTGTATTAAAGTTCAACTTTCATACTATAAAATTCTTCTAACAACAATTTAATTTTTTAATCTGAAATACCTAGTGTGTAGTGCTACTTGGTAGTTTGTCACATCATTCTCTATAGTGGTTATTAAATAGACCCAAGCAACATATAGCAGAATAAGATCATCTACACAAAGCACATTTATATCTAAAAAAAGAGAGAGGCCTAAGTTATTCAAAACTGAGAAAAGCTCTAAGTGAAAAATCTAAAAATAAAACTGATTACTGAGATAATGGAGCTTCATCTTATAAAAAACAAGTGTATCTAAAAAATTACCTATTTTTCATAATAAAATGTAAATGTGTTCCACAGCCAAAAAATGTAAAATTATATTTAAGTGTGTGGTATAATTTTCTAATAAAATCCAAGTAAAATTAATAATACTCAGTAGCTGTAAAAGATATCTGGGTTTATTTGAATGTTTCACAGTGGTCAAAAGAAAAAATAAGCACCGCTTAATAAAAGAAAACAAGTATCAAAAATCCTCCTTTTTCTAACAGGCTACAGCTTAATTTTCTTTTAGACTCTTATCATTCCCTAACATTTGTGAAAACTACAAATATTTGGTTTTTCAAATGGAAATTAAAAGGTTATACAGACACATATGATGAAATTGAGAAAAAAGATTCAAAATGTGGTCACAGTGAGGCAGGAGACAGATGGGCCCCCAGGGCAAACGGCTAGAGTTCGCTCTTTGTGGATGGATACTCCGAGATGGGAATAACAGGACAGTTGAGAGAGGAGGCTGGGCCCTGCCCAGATAGAAAATTAGAGACCACATATTCCTCATTCTTGAAGTAGGGAGACCTCCCTGACTACACATGTGCAGAAAGGCTCCTTGGAGTTCAAAAGGGGAGTGATGCCAACTAATGCTCACTTACCCATAGGCCCCTTCGGTAGAATCCATCTTGGTTAAGAGATTCGCACGCACACATGGGAAAATCCTGAGATACACTAAATATGGACTCTGAACCAGGCAAATGAAAATGATTGGTCAAAGGAAACACGGAAGAAATGCCCCATAAAAGTGATTCAAACTGACACGAGGGCACGACTCTCTCTCTGAGCCCGCCTGTGTGTCTATCCACACGTAGTGTACTCTTTTTTTCCTAATAAATGCTTTACTTGTTTCACTACTTTCCGTCTTTGTGGGAATTCTTTTTCTGCAAAGCCATAGGGCCAGGGCCTTGTCACTGACTACTGGTCTAGCGGCTAGGATTCGGTGCTCTCACCGCCACGACCCGACCTCAATCACTGCCAGGGAACCGAAACCCTGCTTCAAGCTGCTGCAGGCCGAGGCCACCTGAGATCACCAGCAAACAAATTGAGGCAAGGAAAGAAAAACAAATATATATATGCATAAATTTTTTTCAGGCACTCTGCTAAGAATTTTTCAGTTTTTTTTTTACCTATTTTTATCCTCACGACAGTCTTACATGATAAGCATAATTTTGCCCATTTTACAAGCGAATTGAGACTTCGAGAACAAAGAGTCTGAGGTCAGAGCGCTAATAACAGAAAAAACAACAATTTGATTCTAAATTCGGTTGCCTTCAAAAACTTTGTTCTTTTCTCTTTATACCTCAAAATGTCCTGTAATAGCAAATTTTTGCATAACAAGCTCAAGCAATCATCGGTATTTATTAATGCCCCTAGTTTCCTGTATGGTGACTGCATCACTCCCTTTCCACAGTTCAAGCTGCTGTACTTGCAGCTCCTCATCTGACTGTGCACAGATAGTAAAGGACTAAAGTGGAGAAGGAGATCTGTGTCCGGCAAAGTGCTCACTCAACTAAGCTTAATGGCCTACTGCACCAATTCTAACATGCCACTCAGAAGCCAATGACTGCTACTAAACTCTTTTGCCCTTTGACATTCCTCTAAGACTCCCTGGTCAAATTACCAGGGAAACCAGTGATGGTACTTCTCTTTCTCTCACAAACTGTAGCTGTTCTAAACGCTCAGATTTCCATTAACTGAAGTTTAAGTTGATGAACAGAACAATTCTCTACTACAAAAATTTGGGAATCGCTGAACATGAAATAACACACTATCAACTTACTTCATTTGCCCAACTCCTTTTCATACTTCCTAAGTATCCACAATGTCCCTAAAGTTTTGCCTGTAGACCTACATCACAATCAGCTAGGGTACATATTAAAATGCAGATTCCTTGACCTACCTAATGTATTAAATCTCTAGGCATGGTACCTAGGAATCTGTTGTTTTTACATACTTCCTTGAGGATTTTTACATACATTAATATTACATATAAGTTTATTTACATTTGTTAATATTTCAGACAAATCAACAAAATTACAAAGAAACCAACCACACTGGCCAATAGGCCACAGGATCTAAAATTAAGATGGGAGACAATGCAG